AAAATTATTTTAGGATTCTTTTTAAGCCTTGACTATGGGCTGCATGTGTTTTATTAGTGAAAAGCAGTAAATCCATTTTCTCCTTAATAGTGACAATCATTTACGCATTATTCACTTTATGTCCTTTAACTAGCTTTAACCCGGTTTTGAGAAGCTACTTGTCCCCTTGTGCTACAGCAGATGAATAGGAAAACAGTTATCTTACATAGTTCTCCCCCACTTATTTGTTTGCACTGTTAGCTGTAAAGTTCTAGGGTTTTTTTCCATTTTATTGAAATCTTCTTCCCCAACCCAGTGCATGCTGTAGAATTCTCTTTTATCTATGCTGATCTAAACCAAACAGCCTCTCCATTTACCAACCTGTGTCTTCAGATGCTCACAACTTTTACAGAAGTATTTTCTAAACATTGTTCACATTCTTTCTACAGAGATTCTCCATTTGTGCTGTGACAACTCATCTACAAGCTCAGTTTTATGACAGGAAAAGAGGAAAAGAGAAGAGGATAGCAGCCAGTTCGTGGTAATCAGAGAGATACAAGATAAATGCAGCAGCCCAAGGGCCAGAAAAAGTGATAAATGTGAAGCAGAGATACCAAACAGAACTTCCACATAGATATACCTCCCCAGTAGGATATTATTCACATAATTGTGAGCCTAATTTGGCTAGCTTAGTCTACCACAGTTACTGAAAAGGAGGGAAAAATATCCTCTAAAAAGAGATTCAGAATAGAAAACCTTTATTACAGTTGGTAATTAAGCACAGATTTTGTCAGATAATACAGATACTTTCCCTGATTCCATCTGGGAAATCAGGGAAACCAATCTACACCTAAAGACCCATTTCATGCCATGACATTATATATATGAAAATGGCCACTAACAGACCTGTTACGAGATGCTTGTGATCTATGCAAGCAAGGCTGAGAAGAAGTGTAATTATCTTCACCAGGTCTAACTGTGAACAAGAGGTTTAACAGTAAAGGATAAGGTTTGTCCATGCTGCATCTTACCCCAGTACCTAAGGTTGTAAACAACTGCAGGTTGCACGGCTTTTCCTCCTTTCTCCATCTCACACAACAAAACATCTACAAAGATGTGTTTGTTCTACCATGCAACATCATTCTGAAAGCTTCTGAGTAAATATGAGCATTTGCAAATTACTTTGAGGACTTCTCAGGTATTTTCAAAATACCCCCAGTGTTAGAGCATTTGAATACACACACAGGGTTTGGGAACTTCCCAACCAAAATCAGTGTACGCTGATCACGTTGGGCATTTTTATTTGCCTGGCACTGTTGTGTGGTGGGGTTAGCAGAAGTCCTGTCCAGAAAGCAGTAACTAACTCCTGTCCAGTGTGGCCTGTATTTGTTTCTCTAGGCAGCAGACAACTGGCACTGTAATGCCATTCAAAGCATAACATGGAAAATACTGGCACATTCACACACTAATCCTCCCCAAGCCCAGTTGCTCACTCCAGTGGCGTTTGAAATAGCAGAGAAGAGACCATGTCCTTCAATACTTGCAAAATCAGGAAAGAACCTATGCTATTAAAGTCAGAAGTCCCAGAAATCATGTTTGGGGGCTCACGGATTTTGCTATGCCAGTTGATAATGCCAAAACATTAAGCCTCAATACTAGAATTGGAGAAAAGTTTATAGCAGCAATATAAGAATTAAAAATCACAGATGGAACAACTCTGCCTAATCCAAATAGCAGCCTAGCAGCTTGCCAAACTGTGCATTTTATAGCATTTGTTCTACCTGGAGAAAAAATAATCATATTTCATGGACCCCACACACAAAGTACACTAGAAGGAGAACAGCAGGAAACTTACCAGCATCAGGTAGTAACCAAGAGTGACAGCCCAACTGCTCAAATAGTAAAAAGGTACCAAAAACTAGAATTTAGAGGAAGCTAACACTTTGGGAACAGAGTAACACAGCATAGGACTTCACAGAATTCCAGATACTTAAAAAAAAATTTAAGGTTTTAAATTGTTTAAATTGAGGCAAGGAGAAAATTCCACCCAGGTACAATTGTAATTATCTGTCTAAAACTGAAATTACCATGATTAAGTACCTACCTCCAACGTTGTTTTTTGTTTGGTTGGTTTGGGCTTTTTTGGTACATCTATGCATAATGACACGTTCATGTTATCTGTGTACATACACATGTATGTGTTCTGGTGAGGCAGATAAACATTCACTAGCACCTTTCACTTCCAAATATATTACAGAAAGCCTTAGAGATTAAAACTGCATTTGAAAAAGCAGGATTTTACTGCTAATGACAAAAATACTTGCACCTTCAAGAAGTAACACCAAGCTACCAAAAAACCTAAAAGTTATTTAAAGAAGTATTCTTTTTCAAAGTGCAAAGGCTTTGCATTTTTGAATGTATTTCCCTGGGCAGTTCTGAAAGAAAAATCCTTCTCTACCTCAGTAAAAATTAATATACTTTTTTTTTTCCCTAAATGGAGAGAACACAAATGATTAAGATAGTTTAATACAAAACTGAAAGGTATTTCATAGAACCATAAATGGTTTGGGTTGTAACTTAAAGATCATCTAGTTCCAACCCCCAGTATTTCCAGACTGATTTTAATGATAAAAATGTTCTTTTTTTTAGAAACAGAAATAGCTGATGACTGCAAGTAACTACTGAACAAAGTGGTACGTAGAGAGCAGAGATTTTTTGAATCAAAACACCGTCTTCTTCTATTTTAAGTGTTATGCCAATAGCAACTAGCTTATACATAGCTTGAAGGAAAGGGATACCAGTTTAAGCCTGTGCATGTAAGACCACATGCTGCTTGTTAAGCCCTTCACACAGTCAGGAGCCAGAGGCCCCTGTCAGTTCCCAGGAAATCCGAGGGAAGAAGCTCTTCAGCAGTCACACTGTCCTCCCATAGACGTGGCCAGGAGGAGAGGAGCAGCCAAACACTGAGGTGACCTGACTGGAGCCTCTGCAGCCTCCCAGGGCAGGACTTGGGTTATGCAGCCACCACAGGGGCTCAGTCCCAGTGAGGAACCTCAGGTGAACTCCTTATGAGACCCATAGGGTTCACGCCTGACTCAGGCACACCTGTTACCAACAGTCACTGCCAACAGTGCACTGGTGACCAGCAGCATGAGAACACCTGCTCTCAGGAGCAAGTTCTAACAGCCCAGAAACATCATAGAGGTTGAGCAACGCTACACCAGGGAGAATGCTCTCTTGACTTAGAAGCTAGTAATTACTGAGAGGAAGTACAGCTTCTGCTGCTTGATATGAAATTCTTTAGCTTATATGGGATCTTAACTGCTTCCTCTTCAATAGAGCAGCAGGAATACTTACTGTATGGAAGACCCTGCCCTATCCAAGAATAAACAAATATCCCTCGATAAACATTGTGAAAGGAATATTCAACCAACTCTAGATACAAGCAAGTGCCCATTCCTTAAAGTGAAATTTTGCAATTGCTCTGTAGAACAAGAGGTGAACGCTGCAAGACTTTTAAAAACATTCTTTAACAGCTCTAATTCACTAACCTTAGCATATATTAGACTACTTCTTCTATAAATGAAATGGTCTAAATATTCCATAGAAATGGAAATTATTTTTAGCAGATTGGTCCAAGTATTGTTTTAAAACATTTATAGTTTTATATATAGGCTGGTTTATTTATAGGCTGGTTTTCAGAGAAGCACAGGAGATGTTCACACACAAATTAAACCCCATTCATACCTAGACCCTTCACAAGAGCCAGCTATTTGACATGCTGCACCATTTCTCAAGTTCATTTGTTAAAAAGGCAGTTGAGATGCATCCATTCCTTGCTGGAGTTATCAAGGAAAAAGGCAAAATCAGTTCCAGAATCTGGTAATAACTCTCAAGGTACTATGATAACATCCCACAGACTAGCATTTAGAATACTCTTCATCTCAATTTGGCTTGTTTTAGATATACCCTTTTAAGTAGATGCTTGTTTTCCTCACTCAGTCAAAGATGGGTGTGCAGTCAAGATTCCATGCTTAAGGCAAGCTGAAAGCCATGCCAGTGTTTTTTATACTTGCTACAGCCACACTGAAGGCTTCCCTTCCAAAGCAAGAAGCAGAGCAAAGTTTCTCTCTCATAATAGGCTGGCAAGATTTTGGTTGGTTTGGTTTTGAACTGAAGACACCAGATGCAAATGACTGATGCTTTCCCATAGACTGAGAAATTGCAATTCTTTTACGCATGTCCCTTCCAACTTCAGCTGAACAGGTCAAGAGGTGCTCTGTCCTTAGAAGTTAGTAGTATAAAACTAAATTTAAAAAAAAAAAAGAAAAAAGTGCTAAAAACTCAAGCTACACTATAATCCTGTATTTTGTGCAACTTATGGATAGGTTTGCATTTATATTGTGATTTTTTGAAAAGCCCAGTAAACCAGAATATTTCAAATGCCCTGACAGTTCAAACTACTAGCTATGTACCCACTTATCAACATAAGTGTTTAATGCCAACTTGATGTTTTATTGAATTTTGACATTTTTAACCCACTATAACCTTAAAACTGAGATCATGACAATATTTTGATTGCTATGAAGGATTCTGTTCAAGTTGCATTAACAGCACGGCTATTATTATTTAGTGTGAATATCTTGGGAATGGCCAGTGAAATAAGGCATTTAGATTCCTAAACAAACCCTTAAGAATCAGGTCACCGAAACAACTCCTTAGCTGATCATATTACATGCTCACCTTCTTAAAGAAGAGAAATAGAATGGGAAAATGAGAAATTTTCTAATTCCACTAGTTTTAGACAGTGACTGTGGTGCCAGAGGCAGCATGCTTTGAGAGACACTGATTTAATTACTAACTTAATTACCTTAAGCACATCATATGTCAAATTAACTCCTCAATTACTGCAGGACAAACTCCATTAGGAACACTGACGTTTGTTCTTAATGTTCTGTAGTAAGAGGCAGAGTTTTAGGACTCACAAAACACACGCACAAAGACTCTGTTCTTAAGTTAACCTTGCACTGCAGCAGCTTCTGAATTAGCAGCAACTTCCAAGTCAGCAGCAGCTTCCTGCTGTGCTTTCTCCACAGCCGGGGATGGTTCTGGAGCTGGTAGGTCATTCTCCCCTCCAGTTTCTGGGGATACCCCAGCATTGTCATCCTGTGCTGCAGGTCCAGCAGCAGCTACTGCATCAGCCTCTTCCACGGCTGTCTCTGCTTCAGTGACTTCAGCCGTCTCTTCTTCATCACCTTTTAAGGATTTATTTAATACAATAAAGAGAGTAAAGTGCATGCATGCAACAAATTCACACACTGCTTTTTACCACCATTCTCCTTTAGATTTAAAATGGGAAGCTAAGCTTTGGGATCAGCATTTACAAAGTCAAGAAATCAATAATTAATCCCCCCATATTGTCTAATGTGGCACTGAAAAAGATGTTTACAAGATGAGGAAACCATATTCTTAATTACTGAGTTTCGTAATTGCTTCAGTGTAGTAAGAAAAGAAATTGTGGTTTAAAGCAAGTATCTGAAAGAGGTGGAAGTGCAGGGAAGGATAAAAAAAGGACCTCACCAAGTGTTGCTCCAGCACCCTGTACTGAAAGGGCCAGTGATAATGCACTCAAGGGTGTCAGAGGGAGCAGGCTTCTTGCCCTGTTTGCACCCAGCAGTGGAATTACCACACTAAGAGTAAGACGTCTGCTACCATAGTTAGAAGCTGTTATGGAGCTCATTATCCATCAGGCTCAGAACCACTGCAAGCTGAGATGTGCTTTCAGTCTTCGCAGGGCTATTTTTAAGGTGGATAACTTGGCTGGCAATAGCTACAATAATGCTGAGGCCAACTGCCATCGGTTTTGTGACATTTCTTAGCCCTGTACTGCCACAAGTACTCCACTATCCTTATTTGCCCTGCTTTCTTTAGATTTAAGGCAGTGTAACCCCTGCAAGAGCCATAGCACTCAAACAAGAAAGGTCAGGTCTGTGGGGCAGAATAAAACAGGGGACTCTTACTGAAACTAGGTGTATATCAGTAAGAAAATAACTGGCTAATTTGAAGTGGTCAGCATTCACTTTACTGGAGATATGACTGCTTATGACTAATAATTTTCTTTTTACAACTTCTATCTGTCTTTAAAGACTTGACTACATTTCTGTGGGTCAAAACTGCTAGAAACTCAAAAAAACAGTGTTTCCTAGTCATGCATACTTCAAACTCAACTGAGACGAGTCATTAGAAACTAATGGCACAATGCAACAAAGATGCACAACCACCATGCAAACATGCACTAAGATCAAGTTAACAAAAGAAAAGTTGTGTACCAGGTATTCACTGCAAATTTACCACTAGAACCAACTCACCATGTGAAAACACAGAACTGGAAATAAAGTTTGTAATATAGTGTAAACTAAGTGAGAATAGACAGGAAAGTGCTTAAAGAGACATAGTCAGAATTTATTTTATTCTTTTCTATCTGTTTAAAAACTAAATAGATCAATTTTAATTCTGTTTTTTTTTAGGCTAGTGCAAGCCTATCTTTTTGTGTTCAGGTTTAAACACAAGACTATTAGTTGCTCAGCAAAGAAATCAAAGCTTTGTGTTATACAACCTGATCATGTCCCTTTAAGAGAATGCTGTATTCCAAAAACACCCTAAATCAATTACACAAAGAACAGACTAACAGCCAAGCTCAGCATTCAGTACACTTTATTGGACAGTCAAGTATAGAGTGCATTCATTCAAAACAGCCAGCTTCTCAATCTCCGAACTGCCTTCTGCAAAGCAGATTCAGTAATAAGCTCAATATGGTTTGGCCTTGCAAACATAGGTAGTTCTTTTAGTCTCACAAGTACGGAGTTTTACAATAGAAGGTATAAAGTCATCCCAAGGTAGGCTGCAAGGTACGCAATGGTGAACGACTGTCCTTTGTTTGTATTTAACTTCCTCGGGTTTGGAAAGAGATTTCCCTTGTATTTTAGTCTGGAAAGTGTAAAAGCAGAGTATAGATTAGAAAGATTGAATCAGCTTGCATTAAGTTAAAAAGAAGTCATTGCTAAGAAAGAAGGAAATCAGGAACAAGTTTCAAGGAGACACATGCACATGGAAGAGAAAAATCAGTTAAACAAGTAGAATGTTCTGCAAGGAAAACATCATTTTACAGTTCAAATGATGTCCCAGATTTCCTACTGCTACTTGGAGTCAGGCTTCTGCCAGGAGCTTTTTTAAACCCCTCTCTAAATTTGTGAGCAGCTTTCAGTTAAGAGCAGCTCTAGAAAATTTGCTAGTAAGATTATATTTTTTAATGTCTGATATCCTTAATTAAAATACCATTAAATATCATTTCAACCCTCTAATAAACAAACAAACCTAGAATAGCATTTGATTATTTCCTTTATAGTGATAGCCTTGCACACTACATGCATTACTACATCCTTTAGAATAGACATTTTGGGTTTGAGGACAAGTGGAAAATTTTCCTCAGGATGAGAAAACACAAAAATAATTCATATCAGGAGAGTCTCTGATCAGCTGCTCCCTAGTATCAAGTTCTTTCAGGCAGAAAGCTCTTCTCTTATGATAGGACATGCAGCAAATATTCCATGAAAGTGGTGTTTGGCAAGCTGCTTTTCTATCCACCACTTCATACTGTTACCAACACTGTTTTACAGCTTAATTTAAGGTTGATTCTACATGACCCTAAAAATATTTGATTACTTTGAGAACAGAATTTTTAATTGCTCTTATCAGCAATGCTCACTGTAAAAAAGTGTAAGGACTGAGTCTAAACAGTGGGGAAAGAAGCACCAGGGGCACTTCTGGGAAAAGCTATACTATGGTAACAATCTGTGTCACAATGCACACAAAAATATGACTATGCAGGGAACAGGAGGAAAAGGGAAGGAAGAGACACTAATTCCTTTGAGAAAGCACACAGAGGATTTCATAGGAAAAGTAACAAAAGAAACCTCTTTTGGGAGGATACAGTTGGGAATGAAGAAGGATTTTTGTAAGAGCTGATTCAACAGTAGCTTTGTATTGTGAATTGGAATTAGCCACTCAGAAGTCCAATTAAAAACTCTTAGTTGAGTGTTTATTCAGAAGTCCAATATGAAAAATAATACAGGAAACAAGTTTCAACTGTGTTCACTGTATGGTCTTAGAAATGCTTTGGACTTCTTATTGGCAATACTACCAATAATAAGGGAGGCAGCAATCATCTGCCATCACTAAGCAGTGCAAGGCATCAAATTATGGGATGTCTGGAGAGTACCCAAAGTCAGAATTAAGTTGCAGAGCAGCGAGTACTCCTGCGCTAGTCTTGGGCTACACAGGTATAGCCTTCAGTGGGTCACATGCACCACTGACCTCTGGTATCCCACTCAAATCTTTTGGAAGACTAGGGTTATAACTCAGTACCTTGCAGAATTGAACCTTAAGAGAAAAGAGGGAACATACTGGCATCATATTGAATGCCCTGGAAGGTATGTTTAATGCTCTCACATCTACAATGTCCATCTGAGTATGTTAGTTAGAACGTAAGTGTGACCTTCATTTCTTCCCTCAACAGCAGACGACTAGATCACTATGAGGAAATACCTACTACTTTGGTCCTGTCTAGAATTTCTAATTTTAGGGACAAGGAAGGATTGCATTAAAATTGTGGCCAAATTCCCAGCATTTAAAGAATTAAGTTTAAAAGCTGTAGTGCTTCCAGCTGCTTAAGAAAAATTAAGGTGTTTTGCCATTTTAAATCTTAAAATCTATAACTGTAAAGTTCCAGAACTAAAGAATGTGTCGTGTAACTTTAAGACTAACAACTTCAAAAGAAATTATTTTAGCAGCAGAGAATTTAGAGCATGTTCTCACATTGAAAGCAAAATTTAACCTCAGCATACTCTATGCAAATCTATTCTTTGTGTGCATGCAGATATATTAAATCAATTCTCTAGATGACAGCATCAGAAAAATAAGGAAGAAAGTGATACAGCATTAATTTATTTTAAAAATGAAAATATAAAGATGCTGACGAAGCCATTTTTTTCTGTTTTTCCTAGCAAGGCCATGCCTGCCAAAGTTCTCCCTTTATATTAATGCTGCCATAACACTAATTGATGTAGACAGAGACAACATTCCATTACAAGTATTTGAACTAACATGGTCTAATTATTTAAGCATGAAGAGCTAAGTTAGAATTTGCCATACACTTAGGTGGTATCTACTTTTCATTTAATCCTGAATTTAAAAGGACAAAATGCAAATTGTGGGACAAGAATAGGGTCTGACTTACAGTGTTTAAAAAAATCAAAACCTTAGGTTTTTTCCTTTGAACTGTATTCCCTGATGGCATGTGGCCTGGAGCCAAACTGTTGGCTGAGGAACAGATATTATCCCCTTCCCCCTCAGCAAACAAAAGGATAAAACTGATTTTGACAGCATTATGCATTTAGTCAGGTTTCATTAAGCTTCCAGTAAATCCAATGCAAATACCCAAGGTACAATTAATGGTTCACACGTCAACATTTTCCCTCCAAAGGTACTTCCGAAAGTTGATCACAGGCCAGATTCACTGCCTAAACATTAAGTCTATTCCCACAGTTTGTGCAGAAGTAGCTTTGTAACAGATCACTGCATGACCACCTTTGTCTTTACTCCCACTTAGAGACCTCGGAAAAGCACCTGGGCAGGGTTAAAGCCTGATTAGACAATCTAGAAATCTGTTCCAGACCCTCGCGCACCCGGGGAACAAGAGAGAAGAGCTCAACTCACGTTTGTCTTTCCGCCCCTGAGATCTCTCATGAAGAATATTCACATGTTCAATGTAGTTGCTGCGGGATGAACTGACTATTCTGTAAGCCTGAAAGGAAATTATACCTAAACTTATTGCTACATCCCTACAAAATTACCAAACAAAAAGAGGGGAGAGGAAGAAAAGGGTTTTGAAGCAAGCGCTACTGCCCATCTTAGGAGGCATATCAAATTCTGCTGAGCAACGTCAGGAAAATAAATTAAAAATCTATTTTGCTATACTAACATATTTATACATTTCATATTTCTCTGTTGTTAGAAAACAAACACAATATACCATGCAGCTTTCAAAGTGCTGCAGCAGTTCAGGAATAGAACACAGTATTTGAAAAGACAATTACAATTGGATTATTTATTTAATGAAAAAGAAACTATGGTAAAAAGGTGACAGCAAGAGAATTCACTGTTCCTCCAGATATGCAATCACACGAGTTTTATATTTCAAAGAAGTAGAAGCTACTTACCATTCAAGAGGATTGTTTTGTGGGAAAGGGAAACATGCACCTCTCTGGGTGCTAGTCACTACCTCATTATCTCAAATCTTGGGGGTGGTGGGGCGGGAAGGTACGAAATGGAGGTTTTAGGCATGTGAAGCACAAAGTCTGATGTATTTAGTTGCAGGGAAGACCACGATTATTGAAAAGCCTGACAGAAGTAGTTGTTCACAAAACTTTAACATGATTTTTCTAAGTAACTAATATTCTTATCTTCCTCTGTGCCCCAATTAACGAGGTTCATAATCTCCCCCCCCCCCCCCCGTGGCTTCAGACAGCTGATTTCACATCCGTCTTGCCCACCGTGAGATACTCTTAATGTTTGTGGTTGACAAGAAGAAGCAAGGGGTTACAGGCAGGTGCCTTACTATGCCTTTGGGTATATTTCACATAGCTTTAAATACGTTTTTCCGCTAAGAATGACAACAGCACTAGATATCAAAGGTAACAGTAAAACAGGCAAGCAGTAGGCATTCAGTTTCACCAGTTCTCCTGAACTTGTTTTTAAGTTAGATTGTCTTGAATTATATGCTATGACATCCACACTCTACTGATGGTTTGAAGACAATTTTTAACCTTACACCATGCCAACTCAAAAAGCACAACAGTTCCATTCCCAAACACTTACATAAAATAAACCACCAAAAGCAGCAACACCAGTAAGAAGATAGTAAAACATGGACTCTCCAGATGAGCCAGGAACACTCCCAGATGACATCTGGCGAAGAGGTGCTATAAAAAAACATTACTGAAATCAGTGTAAACATGCAGCTAAAATATGACCCCAAAACAGAACGACAGGATCTGAATTCCATATGGGAAAGGATGATTTAAAAATTATGTAACAAAACAAAGAGGTACAGCTTTGTGTTTAGTACAACTGAGTAATGCAGGGCATGGTGCATAACTGAACACGATACCGGGCTGAGCTCTTCCTCAGATTTTACACGAACTACGTTGTCTATCAGCTTCCAAGTACTGGATGCAATCTATAGAGGCTACGGAATGACCTGAGAAATGCAAAAACATTTCTGCCTAAGGTACATAGAAGAATTAATCTGTCCTTATTCAGCCTTGCTGCAATGATGAAACCCTCTTCCCTTTAGTAACAAAGCACTTTAAGAAAAGGCATTTTCCTTTGAATGCTCATTCCCTCACCCTCAAACAGACTGTGGACATTAAGAGACATGCCCATACCCCATAACCTCAAATATCAGCCAACAGGGCTGAAAGGCAGCATTACACAATTTTACCCTTAGTTGAGTACATATTCACTGTAACAGCAGCGTTAGCTGTTTATTTGCATTCACCAGTTCTGCAGCTTTGATGCTTGCTCTAGCCTCGAGTTCTTCTGTACATCTAAAAATGAGACCTAGGAAAAACACAATTCTGTTTGTCAACAACGCTTTCAGCCAAATTTTGTGACTCTATCCCAGAGGAGAAACACCTCATTGAAAAGGCACTTGTTAAACATAAAACAGCTCTGAGCACTGCAATCAGTAGCTGCAAAAAGTCTCCATCTCAAACCACTGCCATCGTGTGCCAGATTATGTTTAGCGTCATCCGTCTCATGACACACTTTTCAGACTCCTCTTGGATAGTCAGGTAGTCTAATGGATCTTCTTACATTTATATACGATCTGTAGCAGTGCGCTGGGAATACCATCTTCCCAAAGGCTGCATGCTATAGGTAGGAGAGTGCTCAGCCACCCTGCAATCACCCAGCCCGGCAGGACGATTTATTTTTTTATATGCTGGTTACACAACTCCTGATGCGCCAAAAGCCACGGCTGCAGCCCCGCAGGCTGATTCCCGCTCCCCCGGGTGCTTGCAGAGCGCTGAGGAAACCATCGCTTTGGACATACACCTGAGGGGATTCTGCGGAGGATGGAAGTGAGGATAATGGCGCCCGCCCCACGGAGGGAGGGGGATTACACCTGCCCGACACCGAGCCTGCTTCACGGATGGCGGGGGAAGCGGGGTGGGGGGGAAGGCCTAGCCGGTTCTCCCACGGGCGAGGAGCGCGGTGCCGCCCATCCGAAACGCTGCGGAGATGCCAAGGCAGCGGGTTCCCAGCAGCGCGATAACGGAGCAGCCGCACCCGGCTTCCTCCTTCCCGCCCGTCCCCTCACACGCCGGGGATGGCTAACGGCCGCGCAGCGCGCCCGCCGCACCTCAGACCCCCGGCCCGCGACCTTGGCGCGTCCCCACACCGCGGACCGGCGGGGGCGCGTCACGTCCCGCCCCGCCCCGCGCGTCTACCACCCCCCGCTGTCCCGTTGACCTCTACCGGGCCCCGGCTCGGGATCCGAGGCGGCCCCCCGCGTACCACGCTGCTTGAGGCGGCTCGCAGCAGAGGGAGCCCTGCTCAGGCGAGAGGCCAGCGCCTGCGAGGCGGCCCTGCAGAGATACATGGCGGCGGCGGCGGCGGCGGCAGCGGCGGGAACCGTGCGGCGGAGAGGGCACCTCGAGGTGCCGGACAGCACAGGTCTGCAGCCACGGCAGAAGACAGCGATCCGCCCACCCCTCCCATCACTGCGGGGCGGGGCCACCGTGGGGGAGGGCGGGGCCAGCGGCAGCCCCGCCCCGAGCCGCGTGCAGCCGCACCTGGGCGCCCGTCCCGGGTTCGCGTGGGAGCCGGGCCGGTGCCGCAACGTCCGGACGGCCGCTGCCGGGACGCGGGGCAGGGAGCGCCGCCGCGGAAGGGGAGGGCTAAACAGAGGCACTGGCGCGCCACACGCCAGCGGGCTGCGACAGCGAGAATCACCGAGAGCTGCACAGGCCCAGAGCGTGCGGAAAGGTGAAAGGGGGGGAGGTTGTGAGGAGCGAGGCTGGTGCTTTAACTAGAATAGAAGGCTCTCCACGAGCGGTCTTCCACCAACAATTTCTGAAGAACTCAAGCTAAACCGACGCTAAAAGGCATTCGGGGACAGGGTGCCAGTACAGAGGGGCTCAAGGTCACTAGAAAAATGCTTGCAGAAGTAAATCCCGCTACAAGTCACGTCAGCTGTTACAATCACGGGTGCCTCTAGGTCAGAGCCACCCAGCTGTCCTCTCCCTCCCCACATCGTTAAACGGCTGTGCCGTTACGCATTTCTCCTCTACAAACTACTTTGATGGTCCCTCAATGATTTCCTGATGCCATATCCTGCCGCTTGTCATTATCCCCTTTTTTGTCCTTTGTCCTTGACTGACCTTGATGCATGAAGAGACAGCTCAAGCATTCAGAAGGCAGCACTCACACTGGAAACCGACAGCAGCTCTGTAGTCTCACCACAGAGGCTCTGAGCACCTTTCAGGCCATGAGCAACTCCAGAAAGAGCAGGAAACACCAGCCTCTCCTCTGCCACACAGGGCATGAACCCTGGATAAGGCACTGCACAGAACAGCACCCTCTTAACTTCCGACTACCACATCTCCAAGGAGCAGGTCTTTGGAGACTAGAAGGATACAGCTCCATCTGCAATAAGCCTGAAAGCAGCAAGACAGAAAAGCTGCTGTGCCCAAGAGAATGTGTGTAACAGCCCCTGAGGAAGGGACAGACTGAGGAGTCAAATAAACAGCCTCCGAGATTCAAGACTGCACTTTTGTCCTCACTTTCTGAAAATACATTTCAGCTTTGCAAGCAGTCGCAAAAACAAAGCAAACTTCCTAAAAAGGATGAAGATACATAGAATTCAAAGGCTGGGCACCTCCAATTTTTGTTCTCTGACACAGCTTCATCTCTGCTCTAGGGGAAGAGAATTAAAAATAATTAAAATCAATTCAGACAACAAAGGACTGAAAAGCAGCAGCACTCAAGGAACCAGACCAAGCTTGCAAACAGATGTATAATGTTGGTTATGGCATCTGTAAGTCACTAGGTCAAGCTTTGAAAGCCTACCTGGTCAAGATTTGAGTTGAAAGCTGCTTCTCTGATGGACAAAGTAACAAATGCACATTTTGGCTTTTCTACAGATCATTTTATCAGGTTTCCCATAAATGCCATTCTTGTATTTGCTTATCTCTTACTTTATAAATTTAGCAATGAAAATGCTGCAGGACAAGGGTATACTTAGCTTCTTGAATACTTGCTGAGCTTCCTTCTGAGCCAATGTCTAATGTTGCAGAATACCTTCCAAAGAGTTTTGAAAAGAACAATGATAAACTATGGAAGATAAATGCCACATAAAACCATTTCAAGACCAGCAGAATGACATATAAATGGCAAGAAAAGTCTTCATAATTTTCTTTCATACTTCATAATTTATTTCATAATTCTGCACATGAAATGTATGAACATGTAAGTATTTAGACACTTTGTACTTCTGCTGCTTGCACTTATTTGCAGGACAAGTGGTGAGCATGTTGCTTCTTGCTGATCATACTGTCAACCTAAGAAAGAGGGAGGGAAAAAAATCTTAACAAGAAGAAAAATAGACACAATGGATATTGTCAGAAACACCTCACAGCATACTGCATTTTTAGCTGGAGAGGAATGATTATGGGAAAAATAACCACACCACTACAAGTTTTCCTATACTTACTATTAGCAATCCCATTGTGGCATATTAATTGCCCTGAGGCCACAATCCCCAACAGACATTTTAGCTGGCAGAAATACAACTTTTTTATATCAAAAGGGCAGTGACCACACACAACTTGCACTGTAGCACAAGTCTGCAGCCTTGACTTTATATCATTCTTATGCACAATATAGAAGTGAAACAGAAAAATGTTTCCCACTGTAGACCTGTTAAAATAACAAAGGAGACAAAGATAAGGTATTCTTAGTGCACTTGATCACCTTGCCACTAAAGCACTTGTAAGGTATTCTCCTTGCAACCTAACTTTATTATAGACACTGTAAGAGATATGTTATTTTTCCAAAGCCTGCATGTCCAAGACAGCTGGCAGTGAATATGCACACAAATGGATATATGAAAATATGGATCAGTCACCTTATCACTTCAAAACTGGGAATGAGTTAGATGAATAGCAATAGCCAAGATGCAAAATATTAAGGAAAATAAGGGAGGAAGACAAGCCAGTCCAGTTTCTGATTGCAAACCCAAGTCAAAGGTCTGCATAATTTACATTCAGCTAAGTCAAAAGCATCTGTAGCTATACACTTACTAGGAGCAATCTGTACACTTATGTTGTCCCTCTCGTTTTCTTCTTTCATATTCCATTACATCATCATTATGTTGCTTGAAAAGCTATAAAACAGCAGTATATGATAAACATCTGGGACAACAGAAAAATATTTCTACAGCACATAAAACTGCTATTATCAAAATACAAACCAATATGTAACTAGAACAATACAGAATAAATGATCTGTAAACTATCCAACAAGGCATTTTTTTCTGCAGCTTTCCCAAACATTTTCTGCTGGCCAACTGAAAGTAGGGGGAAGGTTCCTATTGTCAATCAATCCACCACCACCACCACCACAAAAATGGGAAAAAAACCCAAAGGGACCCCACACGCGCCCTGAAAAGGGTGGTCAACATGGGAGTGCTGCTTATCCTGAACATTTCTTCACAAAACCTACCATGCCCTGCTTGCTTTATCAACATCGAGCCTATGAGTTCTCTGAAACCGGGAACATCTTACATCTACATTTTGCTCAGAAACACAACTTCATTTAGGCACACCCCTAGGTTTTTTTCCTCCCTTGTTTTTCTTTAAGATCCATTGGGGAAAATAATGTTAAAGCCTTAAACCAATAGACCTGAGGAATAAATTCTTCTGCTTCAGATGTTTTAAGTTTGTAACAGAGAAAAGCTTAATAACCTGTTCACTTTCATAAAGAAAAGCACAACATAGTTTGGGAAAACATAATTAATAATGCTTCAATCTTGACACCTGCTATAAACACCCATTACCCCAATCAGCTGACTAGGTTGCAGTCATTACCTTCAGATCAGTACGGTTTGGGAATAGTTCAAACCCACATAAAGTTCAATAAAACCAAACAAAACCACTTACATAAGCCCACAAGGCAGCACTGGTGCCAAAAGCCAAGCCAACTCCAAGCCAGTTTGGTTGGTTATAATTACGTTTTCTTGCAACAAATGCGGAACGAAAAAAAGCTAAAATGGCAGAAGATTACAAACACATTAGCATTTCTCAGTCTTAGACTACCAAGTCAATTGCTGACATTCAAGCAATCAGGGAAAAAAAACACAGACTACAAAAAGCTGAAATAAATACAATTATTACATAAAGTTGGTCACCATAACAGCATTACAACTCACCCATGTGTGGATAAACTGCAGCATGTACTCCCTGAACTATGAAGAGATGAGGCTCTACTAACAGTTCAGAGCAGTGCCTTCCTCCCTTTCCTACCCCACTCTTTTGCTGGGTCACCTCTTACTGACCCCAAAGCTTCCGTGACTGCCCACCCCACGCTCCCCGCACTCCCCGAGGGCACCGCCAGCACCACAGCCACAGCGAAGAGCGGGTCACCCCTGGCCATAACCAGCTCCAGCTCCACATTGGAAAAAAAAAAAAACCTATATACGACTAGTTGGTTTAGATAAAAATACAGAGAGGAAAACTGACACAGCAGCTTGTTGTAACTCCAGGTACAAAGCGAAAAGCGCTCCAGCTAACGGGCACGCCGCTGGCACCCCGCAGGCAACCAAGCTCCCACAGCACCCGGGTCAGCGGGCAGGCCGCGGAGCACCGGTGCAATCCCCTCACGCACCACGCTCCCGGAACACAGAACAAGCTCCTATCCGCCTAAACCAAAGCGGGTTCCCCACTACTCCGAGTCGCGACAATACCCCCGCTTGTGCCCTAGGGCGGCTCACCGAGAGTTGGCGTTCTGGCCGCCAACCTCAAAGCCCTCTCCGCTCTCAGTGCCACCGCCATCTTGTCGGCTCGGCTCCACCCACGGAGGAGGGACTGCCCTTCCTCTCCTCGCCTCGCCTCGCCTCGCCTCTCTCCCGGGCGCGGCGGGCGGACGCGCTTTTCCACACGAGGCCCGCTGCGCAATCCCGCCCTCTTCCCCCACCCGTAACCGCACTTGCTGACGGCAGCGAGGATACGCTGCCCGTCAGCTCCGCGCGGGAAACCGGCTCCGCCAGCCCGGCCCCGTGCGAGACCCCCTCGGGGCTAACCGGTGACGGCTTCAAGTACCAGCGCCGCGCGGCGGGCAGGCACTGACTCAGCGGGCGGGCCGGGGTACGCCCGTCACCGCCCGTCCCATCCTGTCCCACCTGGCGGGGGCGAGGGCGGGCCCTGCGGCGGCGCGGGGTCGCGGCGCATGCGCGTGGTCTGCCGTGACCCGGCTGGGGAAGCCCTCGGCGGTGGCCATTTTGGCGGCGCCTCTCTCCGGCCTGTTCAGTTACCACGTGAGCCGCCGCCCGGGGCTCGGCGCGGGGCAGCCCGGCGCGCAGACGGCGGCCGGGAGAGGCCGGGCCCGCGGCCGGCGAGAGCGCCGTGGTTTGTGGGAGGGAGGGCGGGGGGGTGGGGAGGCGGCGGTAGTAGCAGACAGACTTCGGCGGGGAGGCTCCCGGCAGCGGCGAGCGAGCAGCGGGGACGGGACGCAGCCCGGTCGCCCACCCCCCCTCCCCGGAGCCCTTCGGCGGCGCCCGAGCCAGCGGCGGGGAGAATGCCGTCGGTGAGCTTGCCGCCCAAGGAGAACGCGCTCTTCAAGCGCATCCTGGTGAGTGGTGGGGCGGGAGGCCCGCGCTCGGCCACGGCGGGCCCCGTGGGACTGATGGAGGGGAAGCGGTGGCGGCCCCTGCCCCGGCTCTTTCTCCTGGGCTGGTGGGGAGCGGAGCCCCGGTGCCGCCGCCCCAGCGCTGGCGGCGCCCAGGCCAATAGCTTCTTCCTGCCGGGGCAGGCTGGGCCGAGGGGCGCCTGTCACCCGCGGCACGTCCCGCCCGGGCGCGGCCCCCGCGGGGTCCGAGGAGCGGTGGGGGTGGCCGGGCCTCGCCGCTCGCCCCCTCGAGCCTGTGCTCGTAGCCGCGCAGAGCCGCGGGGCTTAACCCGAGGGCCTGCCCCGGGCCCCAGCGGTGTCCGCGGGGAGGTAAAACCGCCCTCGCGGGTGCTTCATTCAGGCGCTCGCTGTTTACGGACGCTCGGCCGAGCCCTTTTCCCCGGCGATTCTTTCTTCGTTGTTTTTGCAATTCATTTTTTCTTTCCGTAGACAGTAACCTGTTTTGTTGGTCAGTGGGGAAGATGGCTTTCAAAGGAGGAAGTGGAGAAGGATGGAGATTCTGAAGTCTTTCTGAAGTCTAGTTTATAGCTAACTCCTATTAGAAGTTTGTCATTTGTTTTTTTCTGGGCGGCAACCAGCATACGGATGAAAGAAGCTGCAGTGGAAATTAGGCAATAAATCGCGGTTTTAGATGAGATTAAGATAGTGTACAGTCCAAACACCACCAAAGCATGCACAGTTGAGTTAGATCTTAAGGAACTTGTTTCAGTTTTGATGCAGTGTTGCATGGACCTTGTGTTTCTGAGAGCTTGGGGTGAGTTGAAAATGACAGTTATGTGAGTAACTTCAGTGGATTTATCTATAAGATTCTGTTATCTGGGTCAAGCACTGCATTGTTTTCTCTCAGAAAAAGAATCAGTTTTATCTAAAAATCTCACGTTTTCTTTCAGAGAGGCTTAGGCTACTCTTTTGGATCCTTCCAGAGATCAGAAGTAACATGAGTACTTTAGTCTTCTCGGAGTAGCAGCACTCTTAAAGCTCTGTAAACTTTTTTGGGGGGATGTCTGTAATCTTCTGTTGCTTCTTCATTTCAAAATCTTTTTGTGAAAATAAAATAAATCTGTAAAACTAGAAATCCTTAGGTACAAGCATCTCATCACAAGACATGCGGCTTCAATTAGGGTTAAAAAGTAGGTGCAATGAACTGTAAAGCTTATTACTACTTTGCAAGATCCAGTCCTGCTTGGCAGTTGATATGGCTTTGTACTAAGTGTAATTTTTGATGTGTTATGAGCTGGAGAAGTAATAGCCTTGTTGCTCACTCACCCATCTTTGTAGTGAGGATGGCTTATGTGGTTACAAGTCTAACTGAATCAAGGAGCCTGCCTGTGTTTAAAACTGACTGGTCTGGGGTTTGGTTTGGGGTTTCTTAATGAGCTTGGTGCACGTCTGTCTGATTATTTGTGTGGAGAGCAGGAAAAAGGGAAGAGGAAGAGTTGGAGTTTGTTTGGAGAAAATGCTGGCTCAGCACATGCGAGTTGAATGAAGCTTCTCAATTTATTTCAGGTCAGAAAAGAGAAAGGTGCACTCCAGGCTGATTTCTGTAGACTAAAGCTATTTTAATGCTGGCTTTCTTTTTTTTTTTAAGCTGAAAATCTTTAACAAAAACACAGAAGCTTCAGGTACTGGGTAGGCTAAACTTTATTCTGGCATTTTGCGTTTTTTTTTCCTGTATCTTGCAGGGATGAGCCTGTGACATGTAGCCTAGTATTAAGACTGCCTTGTGATCAGGCACCTTTGTAACACGTGGTGAATAGGAAAAGCTTGAAGCTGGTTTTCATCACACTGAAAATTTGTGTAATAAACTACTTGTCTGCCTTGTCGTGGATAATGACCCTACTTTATGAAGTTTTGATTACCTGTTTGACTTGAGACATCTTTTAGGAAGTCCCATTTATCAGTGCAAGTCCAGAGAAACATTGTTGCCATACTCCTGTGCCTTCACTCCACCTTTCTCTTCCTACAGTCTCTCCTCTGTCTACTCCTTCTTTTCAGGAGACTGTAACCCGTCATTATGCCATATCGTCTGCTGCCTCTTCCTCTGACCCACTGGTAGCTGAACAACAGCAACAGCAGCAACAGGAGCTTGAGTCTTGCTGGGCAGCTGGCTCCCTGGTAGGACCTCTGAGCCCTGGACCAGCTAACAGGGGAGTCTGATTATCTCGCCCTGGGTCAACCCATGCTGTCTCCTGGCTTTGTCAGACCCTGGAGTCATTCTGTTTGAGCAGGCTTGAGTGTGATTTACTTTTTTTAACCAGTATATGCTTTGGTAAGCTGGCCAAGTGCTGCTGAAAGGATGCATTACCCTTCAAACAGATAATTACTGCTACATAGACTGTTAACAGAAATATAAAGCCATTCACATTTAGATTTTCATGTAGGTAGTAGTAAACACAGGAATTAAGTAGCCTTTTGTTTGTGTAAGTGAAGCATAAAATGGAAAAAACAAGCTGATTGTGTGTGTTTTAAGTTCCTGAGGCCTCATTTCTTCGCTATTTTTAAGAAGTATACCTGTAGCACAGTCAAATGTTAAGGTCTACACCAAGCTGCCCAGCTTTCCATAGTGAAAGGGATTAATCAGCCTTCAGAGTTTGGTTTTTTTTTGTTTGTTTGTTTTGTAGTAAACATCTTACAAGATGAGTAAATTTCTTTTGCATAAGGTTGTGCTTGCAAGCCAGCATTTCCACTTAACTAACAAATTCTGAGTTCAGAAACGTGTGCACTTTGCCTTTGTGTGTTGCAACACTAACTAGACTAACCTAGTCACTTCACAGGTATGTGGAAGTTCTTACAGAAACATTTTTCCATTTGGAAAGCATTTTGCAGTGTTCCTGTAGTACAGAGGGAAAGGGATCTGCCTGATTAATTTGGATTAAAAAAAAGACACCCACAGGGTTATTGATCACTCACTGTTCTGCTTAAACTCGCACTTCCATTAAAAAGAAAGTTTCTAGCTAATATTGGTTTTATAGTTTTAACTGTTTGTTCTTCAGGTAGATAGTCCTGTTCTGCTCAAAGGTGCTAGAAGAAAAGTGGATCTCTACATTTTTCCCCTTCTTGTTTTTGATCCATTTGAATATTTAAAATTAATTGAGCCTGTATCATTCTTTTGGACACACATACTCTCCAGGCAGTCCAGAGATAGCTCAAGAGTTCAGGTGGAGGCAGAGGAAAGGGTAGACTAGCAAACAGAGGAGTCTAAGGAGTAGGGAAATTGACTTTTGGTGCCCAGGAGGCTGGATGAACTCTGAAGTAAAGGAAGAAGCAGTTTACTCCATTTTTTGCTCTTCTTGCCAGCAAGTATGGAGCTAGTTGTAGGAAGCAGGGTTGGCTGATTTATTTTATTTTAATTTTCTATTTTTCTTTTATTAAACATAACTGATGAGTGTTCCTGGCATTTTGTGAAGTTATTTGTCCACTGTATCTGGTTGGGTACAGTTCATCAGATATGTTCAGTTTTATTTCACATATCCCAAAGGCAATATTCAGTTAACTTTTGTTTGGACATGGAAGTTAAATATATTAAAAATGCATTGAAGAAATACTAAATACAAAGCTTTTAGAGTTGCCATGTATTATGTGGAAGAGATTTTCAGTTCCTTAAAGCAGCAGAGGAGAAAGTTGTTGGAGTCATGAAGTTCTGGCAGAGTAAGATGGTGCAAATACTTCTTACTATAGCTGTCCTCTAGTTGAATATGATTTGAGCAGGGAGAAAAATGCCCAAATATTTAAGTGAAACACTTGTGTTTTATGATGCAAACAGACAAGTAAGAACTAAATGTGTTCAGGCTTTGTTTAAATAGTTTTACTGATTTATAACTCAAATACATACTGTAGAAGTAGCGTACTGGAGATGTAAGGTGCCATGCTGTTCTGGGCTTGTGTATATTATGCTGTATGCAGATCAGAGTTCCTCAGTTTATTCAAGAGTGGTGATTATCTGTGGTCTTCATGATATCTGTAGAGCCATACATTTTTTTATCTCTATCTCAGTTACCTTATGTGCTAAGCAGGCTTGATTAGGTGTGGCCAGAACCTCTCTCTTCCAGTCGGGCATTACAATAACCAAGGTTTCTGTTGTGGGGGGTGGGGTGGGGGTGTGTGTGCATGTTTGAATTTCGCTTTTATTTGGCCATTTCTACAGTAACACTGCAGTACTTGAGGGTATTTGAGCTGGTTGTCTTCTTCCTTTCCATGCTGGCTTTGACAAGTGTTCCACTAAAAGGTACAGGACCTTCCTAACAACAAAAAAGCCTGTTGAACAGCATCTCTTCAGTGTCTCTGCTGTAAATATGCCAAGTCCCTCCTGCTGGGACATCTTCCTGTTTCTTCATTCCAGAGCCTGCTCCCTGTCCCTCCACTTTCAAACTAGACAGACCTGTGCTTCTTCTTCTTCGCTAATACTTTGCCCAGCACCAGTCCATTAAAAGTAATGTTCTGTCTCAGAGAAGTTCATGTGCTGACTTTAAGGTTGCTGAGGTGGCAGTCTTGGAAATCTCAATTTAAGTAATCTTGATTCAAGATTAAAGACCAATTTCCAGAATTCCACTTTTATCAGTAACCAAGTAAAGTAGCACATTTTGTATGCAGTCACTCCTGCATTTGCATTACTATACAGTAACCAAGTATGCTCACCCCTGGAGTTTCACCACATACTGTCTCATCTGAAACATGGAATTGCTAACAAGGTTTTTCCTATATCTTGGCTGTTTTGATGCCAATCACTTAATATTGACTTTGCCAAAGGTAATAGGAGAAATTGTGTCTTGCTTCAAACGTTGGAATGGAGGTAAAGAACAGACCTGCTACTTGTTTTTCAGAAATATTTCTCAAACTTGCTAAAGAAATTAATTACTGTTTGAGACTAGGATGTCATTAAGGAATCACTTGAGCAATGCTGCTGTTACTAAAGCCTGTTCACCAAATCAGACCATTTGTTGACA